CAAGAGACCCGGTCGCCGGCCGCCCCGGGGCCCAGTGGGCGGGCGCGGTGATAATGGAGAGACGTGCGGATTCGTGAAGACCGGAGATCGCCAGCCTCTAGAGCATCGCCTTTCCTGACCAAAAACAAAAACGAGAGCGGGAGCCCGGAGGGCGCGCCACCCAGAACTCTCATCAGGAATTCACGCTCCTAGGTGCTAGGGTGGCCTGGGCAGGTCAGATGCTGGGAAAAGTTTTATGCTCTGGAGGGGATCGACGTGTTGGGGGATGGGGTGGGACAGAAGTTTCTATTAATACACGTTTCTTCCAGTGTACAAAGCCTCAGGCCTTATTGTAGCCTCAGGAGAATAATCCTAAGGATGAGGCGGATTTTATGATCTCCATCTCACAGGGAGAAAACGGAGACTCAGAATAGCTGAGGGATTTGCAGACATAGTGTCAATGCTGGCAGGAATAGAATTGTCTCCAAACCATGATCCTTTATACCAAGTGGCTTTCAATGTAAGTTCCAGGTGAGGCTTAAACTTCCTGCCACCTGGGTATCTTTTCCCGCTGCACTAATAGGTAAAAATCCCATCCTCTCTACAGCGCTGGAGCCCAGTGGAGGGAAGGGCTGAACGCCCAGAGAATGCCCTGACTAGGGAAGCCTCTGCTGATCCCTCCTACAGCAGATCTGCCTCAGAGCCTCCAGGACACATCTTAGTAACTTCATGTCTTTTCAGTGTATATATGTGTGATGGAAAAGGGGAGTGAGAAACCCCACTCTTAGGTATTGGTTTCATCACCACTCTGGGCTTTGGTCAAGTCACTGAATTTCTTTAGGCCTGCATCCCTCCACATATTAAGTGGTGAGGGATGAACTGCCATTTTTATCAACAAGGAAAGTTAGGGGAATATATGAGATGACCTCTGAGAGTCCTTTGAAGATATGTGTTGTCTTCCAGGGCTAATTTTGAAATAAAAGGCTAATAAACACATTGCCTGGCACATGGCAAGCATGCAATAACCACAAAATGAATAAAAATCCCTGGCACTGAGGAGCAGGGAAAAGGAAAAATCCTTTTTCCAGAGATGTCTCAAGATAAAAGTGTTGGCTAAATTTGTGGTTTGAATAGTGGAGGCTGTTTTGGCTTTTTCTGGTATGTCAAATGAAGGAGGGGCTCCCTCCCCTTCCCAGTCCCACCTTTCCTCCTAATCCAATGATATTCCTCTCAACTTCTTTCCATTCACCATACCAATTAATTCCACGATTTTAGACTGACACAGAACCTTATCCTTTCAAAATGCTCTTATATGTCATTTCTTTACACTTTTAGTGCCACCTTGTAAGGTATATAGATTAAGTATTAATATTTTCATTTGGAAAATGAGGAAACAGGGCATGCCAGATCAACTGACTTGCCCAAGTTATACATCAAGTTACTGGCTAAATGGATTAGAATCCAAGCTTCCTGACTGCAGTCTCCTCTTCAGATTTTGTAACCCCCTCCCATGGGCATGAGTGTGCACACACCACGTTCCCCAAACCATCTTGTCCCCTTCCCAATGTCTCTTTTTTTTTTTTTTTTTTTTTGAAGTCTCGCTCTGTCGCCCAGGCTGGAGTGCAGTGGCCTGATCTCGGCTCACTGCAAGCTCTGCCTCCCGGGTTTACGCCATTCTCCTGCCTCAGCCTCCCGAGTAGCTGGGACTACAGGCGCCCGCCACCTCGCCCGGCTAGTTTTTTGTATTTTTTAATAGAGACGGAGTTTCACCATGTTAGCCAGGACGGTCTTGATTTCCTGACCTCGTGATCCGCCCGTCTCGGCCTCCCAAAGTGCTGGGATTACAGGCGTGAGCCACCGCGCCCGGCCCCAATGTCTCTATTTTCTAACCCCCTGTTTAAAGAGCGATGGAAAAATAATGAGCAAATCCAGGATGTCTTCATATGTGAGGAAGCAATATGTCCAGATGTACTGGTGAGGAATAGCCTGCATGATTTTTTGAGGGTTTGCTGGACAAACACACATGAGTGGTTTAGATTTATCATTTAAATAGATTCTGATTTATGGGAAAAAAGTAATTCATCATTTGCCCCATCTTCCTCCTTTCCCAATAGTCAATAAATATTGGGCCGCGCGTGGTGGCTCACGGCTGTAATCCCAGCACTTTGGGAGGCCGAGGCGGGTGGATCATTTGAGGTCAGAAGTTCAAGACCAGCCTGACCAACATGATGAAACTCCATCTCTACTAAATACAAAAAAAAAAAAAAAAAAAAAAAAAAAAAAAAAAAAAAAAAGGCCAGATGTGGTGGCACACGCCTGTAATCCCAGCTACTTGGGAGGCTGAGGCAGGAGAATCGCTCGAACCTGGGAGGCAGAGGTTGCAGTGAGCCGAGATCGCACCACTGCACTCCAGCCTGGGCAGCAGAGTGAAATTCCATCTCAAAAATAGATAGATTGATAGATAGATAGATAGATAGATAGATAAATAGATAAAACAAATATTTGAGTGCCTCCTATATGTGAGGTCCAGGGTTCCTTTCGTGCTGCATCAGATAGGTGCCAGAGCATTGTGAAACATCAGGCAGAGGGGCTAATGAAAAAGAAAAACCCTCCAAAGTAATTTTCAGATTCCAGAGCAGATGCATGTGGGCTGCAGAACCTTCCCTGCCTGTCTGCTCTCTTAAGATGTTATATAAATCTCTGGCGTCCTTTCTTTCTCTGCCCTGCTCCATCCTGTGATCCTGTCCCTACTTTCGTTCACCTGTTTTCCCTTTGTCCTGTCACTCACCCCTTTCCACTTCCTCTGGCCTATTCTTGAAGCTGATTTGCCTCACCAGGTGAACTTCGTGGTACCTGAATTGGGATGTAGGTCGGACTGTTTTCCAAAGACCAATGCTTAAGTGAGAAATCTGAGAACGTATGGGTTCCTTTACACATTTTTATAGCGCTGTCTCCTCAGCGTTCCTCAGTGAGCGTGACCCTACACACACATAAACCACAGAAATCACTCTCAGTCAGTTTCTGCCTGTGGTGGAGATAAGACACTGGGACTACCTCATGATGGGGGTACCTCCCTAACAACACCTGAGGATAAGATGCGACTGCTAGTAGCTGTATTCTATAACAGAATATTTTATAACTTAAGGGAGAAAGGGAACTATTAGAGATAAAAACTTGTGAACTGCTTGCAAGTTTACTGGGCGGAAACTGTTATTCAAACACAGTTGTCTAAAAACAAATATCCTTGGCTTTTGTGGAGTAAATGGAACACAGAGGTTTTGACCAGGGCATTTCCACTTATGGGGGAGAGGATTATTAAAAGCATACAAGATCTTAATTAAAGTGATGTTTTTAAAGGGCACAAAAATAAAGGGCCAGTAATAATGGAATCAGCTCTGTAAATCTTACACAAAAATATGAGTCTTTGATTCTTAATAAAGAAATGCCAACTTCTGACATCAAACACCCTGATAGTAGGGCTCATTTCTTAGACTTCTTGATATTGTCAGTTGAGTAGGCACAATGGAAGCAGATGAATAATGAGGAAAATGATATAAGGAAGGTCTCTGTTTTTGCTTTTTTTATTCCACAGCGTTATCTTGGCGATAAGAAGAGAAGCACAGATATTCCTGCTTGGAGGAGGGAGTTTTTCATATTTTAAAACACTATATAACTTGTAAAATGCTGCATTTAAAATACTCCATCCCCAAGTGCAGGCTGTCTCAAAGACTTATAAAAAATGAAGAAGAAAAAATTACCCAAAGGGACCCACAAAAGCCAAAAACAAAAACAAACACCTTGGATTTTAGCTTGGATTTTACTTCATGAGTGTGTGTAAAGAAACAACAGCTGAGGCCGGGTGTGGTGGCTCACGCCTGTAATCCCAACACTTTGGGAAGCTGAGGTGGGTGGATCACGAGGTCAGGAGTTCAAGACCATCCTGACCAAGATAGTGAAACCCCATCTCTACTAAAAACAAACAAACAAACAAAAAAAAACAACCAAACAGTTGAGAGCTGGGAGGAGTGGAGAAAAGAGGGACAGAATGACCTTTCAGCTTTTCCCTCTATTTTTTGAACTGTTTATTAGTGCAATGATTAGATGTGCAATGATTAAAATGATTAGTCCAGTCATTTTACATGTGATTCTGTACAGAAATTAATCTTATTTACTATTAGCTACATTTTATTGATTACTGTACACCAGTGTTTTAAGCACTTTTCATGTATCATCTCATCTCATTTAATTCTTATAATCCTATGAGGAAGGTTCTGTTTTATAAATGAGAAAGCTGAGCCACAAAGAGGCTAAATAACATTCCCAAAGCCATATAAATATGACATAGATTTGGCCCTTGCTGTCTGATGCTAGAGAATATTTATCAACATACAAGTTCACACACACACACACACACACACACACACACACACACCAGGGAGGGATTGCGCTTTGGTATTTTTGCTATGATGATTTGAGGATACCTTAATTTCCTGGCAATAATGATACTATCGGTTTATCCTGTTTTCAAGAGAGGTGAAATTGACACCAGAATTTATTATTTGCCTTGACATACTTTAAATATCCTTCAGGTAGAGGTAATGCCTTCATTATATTCGGTGTGAAACCAGCTCATGTCCCACCTCATAAATTCCCATAAATTAGCCCCAAAGAAATAAAACTAAATCACCCATATCTTTTCACAAAATGGATTTTTATTGTGGTCATACATGGTTTCTCAGTGCCACAGAAAATTGCTATGTAGGGACAAAAAATTTTGGATGGCTCTATAAAGAAATATGGTAGGTTTTCAGAAATAAGTTGTGCAGGAATGTGGTTATTGAAAAGCAGAAAGGGTCAAGGGAAGAGAAAGGAAGTCAAGGAATGTGGTATGTACATCAAATGATTACTTTTTAAGCCCCTCTAGGCTCTGATAACCCTTTCCCCACGTCAGATCCCAACAAAATTCATCAGTAACTGAAGTGATTGTGCTAACAGATACATAAAAACTACCAGAGAAAAGTGGGTTGAGATGGGCTCAGACTTATTGTTAGGTCAACTCTGGGAGTCGTGTGTCTGTGCCAACCACAAATCTGTGGGCTACCTGGAGATGAGTTCTAACAACCAGCACAGAACCCAAAGCTGCTCTCCAACACCTCTGATTAGTAGGGAAAGCCTGTAGTGGGGGTGAGAGAGGAAGCTGTGCCCTTCCCCCAACCACTGTTTCATCTTCTGCTCGCTGACCTTGATGTGACTTGAGAGCTCTCCTTGCTTCGGCTGTGCAGTCCAGAAGCCAGAACTTCCTCTAGGAAACTGATAAGTAGTTTGAGGTTACTTGAAAGAAAAAACAAAAGCATCTCCAAAAATAGAATGTCTTGCTCTGGACAGCTAACCAGATGAAAATATATAATGAATAGTAGCCAAGAGGTACTGGTCTGATATTTGGGTATAGAAGGGAAGCATCAGTTGAGCACTACAACATCCATACTGCAAGGACAGTCCTTCTGTGCTCTTCCCCAGGGTCTTCATTTTGTTTTTTTTTTTAGAATTAAATTTGTAAGGTCTATTAAGACTAACATTTCAAGTTTGAAGTTTCTATTTGGGAACCCAGAATTTTTAAGGGCAAGGCCACTATATTAACTCAATACCATGTTACATCAGCACCTGTTATCTATACTCTTGAAACTGTCTCAGAGCTTGTATGTTATCTCTAGTTTCTTCCTTATCCAATGTACTCTCCAGAGTGGCACCAGAGTTACTTATCTAAAATACGGATTACAAGCCAGGTGCGGTGGCTCAGGTCTGTAATCCTAGCACTTTAGAAGGCTGAGGCGGGTAGATTGCTTGAGCTCAGAAGTTCGAGACCAGCCTGGGCAACAGAGCGAGACCCTGTCTCTAATTAAAAAAAAAAAAATTAACAAATAAAACAAAATACAAATTTTATCCTGTTATATACTCTCCCCTCTTCTGCTTTAAAACCTTTCTTTTACTTATGGAAAATGTACAGTTCGAGGCCTTTCATAATGTGGCCTAATAATGAATACTTATATTCATTTTGTTCTGAGCACTTTTTAAAGCCGTATGTGTATATATATGCATATATGCCTGCAGCCCTGTCAAACAGATGCTACTATTATCCTCATTTTAAGAAAACGAAGAAGCAAACCTATAGAGGGGAGGTTAAGTGACTTGCCAAGGTCACAACAGACAGTAAGTGGCTCAGCTGGGACTCAAACCCAGGCTCTAGATTCTGTGCCTTTCAGCATCATACAATATTGCTTCCCACTGGTCTATTCCATCTCTCAGAGTGCAGCCTCTATGCCATCCATGCCCAACAACTCACTGTTCCTAAACATGTCATGAGCTTTCATACTTCAAGTAGTTATTCTTACTATGTCCTATGTTTGAAATGTAGGGCTATTCTTTCTCTGCTGAAATGGCGTGATCTCGACTCACTGCAACTTCTGCCTCCCAGGTTCAAACGATTCTCTTGCCTCAGCCTCCTGAGTAGGTGGGATTACAGGCATGCGCTACCATGCTGGCTAATTTTTGTAGTTTTAGTAGAGACAGGGGTGTCACCATGTTGGCCAGGCTGGTCTCAAACTCCTGGCCTCAAGTGATGATCTACCTGCTTCAGCCTCCCAAAGTGCTGGGATTACAAGTGTAAGCCACTGCGCCTGGCAGGAACCTTTTTCTTTAAGACTAAGGATTAAAAGTCACTTTTCTGGCCAGGCATGGTCTCATTCATACATACATATATAAATACATAAATGTCACTTTTTTGTAAAGCGCTTCCAGACTCCTCCATGCTGAACTAATTACTATTATTACTTTATCCCACTCCTATCTCAGCACTGTATAATTGTTGCCAAGATAGACTGTGAGCTTCTTGGGAGGTAGGGGGAAGTCTTACTCACCTTAGATCTCCAGGGCTTAACACAGAGGTATCCAATAAAGTTATGCTGAGTAAATGAATAAAATAGCTACCCATTGGCAAGAGAGCCCTCTTTATAATATAAAAGTTATTTGGATGGATGGGTGCGATGGCTTACGCTGTAATCCCAGCACTTTGGGAGGCCTTAAGGCGGGTGGATCGCTTGAGCCCAGGGATTCGAGACCACGCTGGGCAACATAGTGAAACCCCATCTCTATAAAAAATACAAAAATTAGACAGGCGCCTGTAGTCCCAGCTACTTGGGAGGCTAAGGCAGGAGAATCGCCTGAGCCCAGGAGGCAGAGGTTGCAGTGAGCCAAGATCGTGCCATTGCACTCCAGCCTGGGCGACAGGGGTGAAACCCTGTCACAACAACAATAACAACAACAACAACAACGACAACAACAAAAGTTATTTGGATGCTCAGGACTCTCTCTCAGAGCAGATATTTAAAAGACAGAGGACTGGAGGAATGACCAGGTATCTTATTACCATTGTTTTGCAGTTTTAGACTGAAAGATTCTGGGCTTGGAGAATTTAAATTCCAAACTCCTTTGCAAAAGAAAACATTGCAAAGTAGAGGGAAAGGAGTAGAAGCTAAGTCCATTTGTTTCTCTGTGGAAATACAGACATCTTTGGCCTGGCTTTTTGGCCAGTTGGACTGGAGACAATTGCAGGTCAGAAAACAAGTGTTAGGAAATGAAGTAGCACTGATTTTTTTTTTGTTTTTAAACAATAACACAACAAGTCTTGGTGACTTCTGGAAAGAATGAAATAAATGTGCTGGGAAACCCTACAGGAATTTATCAGGGGATATTTGGTTCATTTCCAACTCTGCTACAAAGGGAAGAACTAAAGATCCTCCTCTGTATATCAACAAGACCCCACATTCCTGACTATAATGAGAACACACTTACTATTTATATTTACCAAGCCTAATTTTGTTTCCTAGGGCCACTGTGACTTAAAAAAAATATATCTATTTGGGGACTCTGATGAGTCATTGCTCAGAATGCTTAAAAAATTATGGGGAATGAACATATTGGTAGCTGTACCCCAAATTTAGATTATGTTTAAAAACAAAACAAAAGAATAATTTTTCTTTCTAAATTCGTTTTAAATTAATCTCATTAAAAGTGAACTCAAAAATCCCCTTCTCCTGTGGTGCCATAGTCCAGTTCAATTCAGTTCAATTCAATCCAATTCAACAAATGTTTAATGAGCATCCATTATGAATGAGGCATTGAACTAGGTGTACAAATGAACACCTTAGTTATGATTCCCACATTAAGGGACTCTCAGAGACAGATACACAATCACAATCCAATATGAGTATAAACAGAGGCAGTGCCAGAAACTAACAGAGTGGATTAACGCTACTGCTTTTTTGGTTTGTGCTGTCATCAAGGGTGTTTTCCTGACTCCATGTATATAAGGAAGGTGGGTGGAAAAAAGCAGAACCCCAACCCTGATTTTATTTTATTTTATTTTTTATTTGAGACGGAGTGTCGCTTTGTCACCCAGGCTGGGGTGCAGTGGCCGGATCTCAGCTCACTGCAAGCTCCGCCTCCCGGGTTCACACCATTCTCCTGCCTCAGCCTCCCGAGTAGCTGGGACTACAGGCGCCCTTCACCTCGCCCGGCTAGTTTTTTCTATTTTTTAGTAGAGACGGGGTTTCACCATGTTAGCCGGGATGGTCTCGATCTCTTGACCTTGTGATCCACCCGTCTCGGCCTCCCAAAGTGCTGGGATTACAGGCTTGAGCCACCGCGCCCGGCCCAACCCTGATTTTAAAAAGTCAACCTTGAGAAGTCTTAAGTCACACACTGAAAAGCAAGCTTCTTCACTTAGATCGTTGGTAAGGGACTAGAGACCAACATTTATAGGATTAAAAATATTAATTACTAAGATAATTCAGCTGAACAACTGTGTTTCTATTCCTAAACAAAGCTACCACACTGTAACAAAACTATGTGTGTGTATGTGTATATAATTTAAGGATATGTCTTCCTCCTTTTTCACTATACTCCACAGGTAAAAATTACATGTGAATTTCTTATACCAAAGACACCAAGGGGAATCTAGAACCTGAACAGTGGTATAATAATATATTAAAAAAATGGAGCTTGTGGGGAGCAGAAAAATAGGAAAAGACTTTCAGGAAAATAATGAGAAAAACCCCAAGATATTTGCCGTAATGGAGTAATAAGCTCCTAATTACAGCCAAACACTTACTTGGAGATGTTAGGAGTATGGGAGTGGGTAAGGGAGAAGGATAAGATGAAAGTTTTAATAGCTCAAAACACTGAAAACGCTCCTCACCTCTCCTTTCAACTTCCACTGCTTGCAGTTTTGAGAGCCACTGCTATGTTTCATACTTCTTTGCTTTTGCACCTACTATTCGAAGGCTGTCACATCTGTCTCATACTTTGTTTGGTGGAACTACGCACCTTTAAAAACCCAACTCTCACGTTATTACTCCTCTAGGAAGCTTTCCTCAACTGCATTGCCCTCCCCTTAGAGTTATTACTCGTTCTTCCATATCTTGTAAATATACTATGTTGTAATTTATTTGTCTATATGTCTATTTTCCATGCAAGCCTATGAAGCTTTTTGGGGCACAAGGATACATGAGTACATTCTCTTTGTAAAAGTTTTAAACAGTACACATATACCTCATCTTCCTTGACCCTTCTTATCCTCATCACTCCAGAAATAACATAGTTTGATCAACAAATATTTACTGTCTACTATGTGCTAGGCACCGTTCTAGAAGCTGTGAATACAGCAGTGAAGAAAGTAAAAAAAACCAAAAAACAAATAAACGAACAAAAAAACCCCTCTGCTGTCATGGAATTTATATTCCAATGGGAGATAAGGAGAATAAAATTAATTAGTCACTACTAATAATACAACAATGGTGTACACATATTACTATGTGCAAAGTACTGTTCTAATGGACAGAAACCATTCACTTTAAATACACACGCACACACACACGAAACAGAGAAGTCAAGATCTTACAGCTTAGAAGTGGAATTGGGATATAATCCCAGGCAATTTGGCTTCAGTTTGTTTTTTTAACTATAATGCTATACTGCCTCTTTGTAATACGTTAGATGAAGAAATACTATGGGAAAAGATAAAGCAGGCTTAAAAAAGGAGTATTGGAGATGATAGTGGTGTGAGATTTTAAAACTAGTGACTGGGCTGGGTGCGGTGGCTCACACCTGTAATCCCAGCACTGTGGGAGGCCAAGGTGGGAGGTCACTTGAGGTCACCAGTTTGAGACCAGCTTGACCAACATGGTGAAACCTGTCTCTACTAAAAATACGAAAATTAGCCAGGTGTAGTGGTGCATGCCTATAATCTCAGATAC